AAGGATAGCAATGATTGGCGACCCACCGGTGATTACCGGCGAGTGAATGCCAAAAAAACCCCTGATTGCTACCCGTTGCCTCATATACACGACTTGACGGCAACCTTATCTGGCGCGACTATATTCTCTAAAATCGACTTGGTTAAAGCGTATAACCAAATCCCGATGGCAACAGAAGATATCCCGAAAACGGCTATCATTACGCCTTTCGGACTTTTTGAATTTCTACGTATGCCATTCGGTCTCCGGAATGCAGCCCAAACATTCCAACGCTTCATCGACGAAGTATTTCGCGGTCTCGACTTTGTATACGCATACTTAGACGACTGCCTCATTGCCAGTCCAGACAAGGAAACTCACCTTAGGCACTTGGACTTGGCATTTGAAAGGTTACGCCAACATGGTGTTACCATTAATATTCAAAAATGTCAAATCGGTGTTGACTCACTCGACTTCCTGGGTCACACTATTGACTGCAAGGGCATTCGCCCACTGGCTACTAAGGTCGAGGCTATACTGAACTTTCCAGAGCCACAGACGATGAAAAGTCTCCGCACTTTTAACGGCTTAGTAAGTTATTATCGACGCTTTATTCCCAACTGTGCCTCTCTGATTCAGCCATTGACAGACCCTCTTCGAGGGAATAACAAGTCCATAGAACTTGACGCGTCTGCTCGAAATGCTTTTACCCAGATTAAAAAAGCTATTGCGAATGCCACACTTCTGATGTATCAGGATCCAACGGCACCGTTAAGTATCTCGGTTGATGCATCAAACACTGCAATCGGCGCAGTTCTACAACAGCTAGTTGACAAAGAGTGGCAACCACTGCCTTTTTCTCAAGGCCCCTTCAATTAGCTGAAACGAAGTACAGCACATTCGGCAGAGAACTTCTGGCTATGTACTGTGCTATACGTCATTTTCGACATTCAGTAGAGGGTCGTGAATTCATAATTTTTACGGATCACAAACCTCTGACGTACTCTCTGAACTCACCTTCAGATAAGTATTCACCCAGGGAATCACGACAACTGGATTACGTTTCACAGTTTACATCAGATATTCGCCATGTATCCGGAGTAAACAACACTGTGGCAGATGCCTTGTCGCGCGTTTGTTCCTTCACCCAAATCGACGGCATAGACCTTGTAAAACTGGCTCGTCTTCAAAAAGAAGATACCGAGCTTCAACATGAGTTGTCGAAAACAACTCTACAATTAGCTGAGAAACCCTTAGGTATGGGAAGAGATACTATTCTATGTGACATTTCCACGAGTACTCCTCGCCCCATCGTGCCTAAAAGTTATCGCCGTAACGTCTTCAATACGTTGCATGGCTTATCTCACCCAGGTATTCGAACTACTGTCAAGCTCGTAACTAGTCGGTTTTGTTGGCCTGGCATTAATAAAGAAGTAAGGGAATGGGCACACACGTGCTTAGCTTGTCAAAAGTGCAAGGTAATAAGACACACCAAAAGCCCACTTGGCACCTTTCTTCTCCCTGACGCTCGTTTTGAACACGTCCATATAGATTTGGTTGGACCCCTTCCTGAATCCCATGGATATACCTATATTTTAACTTGCATCGATCGATTCACACGATGGCCGGAAGCAGTACCCATCAAGGACGTATCTGCTGAAACAGTCGCACGCGTCTTCGTAGAAAGATGGATTGCTAACTTTGGATGCCCATCTTCCATAACAACTGATCGCGGGCGGCAATTCGAAAGTGGCTTATTCTTCGCCCTGACTAAAATCATAGGTTGCATGCGTTTTCGAACAACAGCCTACCATCCTCAAGCTAATGGTATGGTAGAACGTCTACACAGACAGCTGAAAGCTGGTCTGTCAGCTGCAAACAACACCCATTGGACTGAATCCCTTCCGTTAGTTCTCCTAGGGATACGAAACGCCTTGAAAACCGATGCTGGTTGTACTAGCGCCGAGCTAGTATATGGCACGACACTACGACTGCCTGGTGAATTTGTTTCTCCCTCGAGCTTCCCACCAGTGGTAGATCACGCTTCATACGTCAGCAGGCTTACAAACGCAATGCGTTCAGTTAAACCTGCTCCCCTTCGTCCACAGTCCATTGATGTTTTTGTTCATCCGTGTTTAAAAACTTCTTCACATGTATTCGTTCGTCGCGACTCTGTGCGCAGACCTCTGGAACCTCCATACGATGGACCTTATAAAGTAATTAAACGTTCTGATAAATTCTTTGTCTTGGACAAAAAAGGCTGCGAGGACACTATCAGCATTGACCGTCTGAAACCGGCTTACTTGGAGGGTAATCCCATTAGCGTAGAGCTCAACGTACCCCATCATCAACAAGTGACCGAAGTTCGTTTAGACCTCGATGAAGTCACTAGCACAGCGACAGCTACCGAATCTTCTGTCGAGCCCCCTAAGAAAACCCGTTCTGGACGTACCGTAGGGTTCCCAGAATATCTTCACACTTATTTGAAATAACGAAGTCGTGTGATTCACCCAACTCATCTTTTTGTGGTACTAATTATTTTTTTAGATGCATCAATTTTTTATATACAGTATCACTCAAAACAAGTAAATTTTTCTTTCTTTAACAGTACATGTTACATGCACTAAAAAAATTAGATGTATTCTTTTCGATGTTCTAAATTTTGCATTATTTTACTGTATGGTAAATGCACATCATTTTTTTGGTACATTATCCTCGACATGGCTCTTAGCGTTCTTGCTTTCTTTTCCAGGTGCGACGAGCACTGGACAGGAAACAAACGAAGCACGGAATCCAACGAACAGCTTCAAGGAAGCTATGTATAAACACCCTATTAGCATAGGCAGACAAACCAGTAGGCACGCCACCAAGCCGCTCGGAAGATTTTTTTCACCCGATAGGGATCCGTCGAGTTTTTTTTACCTCTGGCTGGTTCTGTCTTAGGGTCCTCACCACCCCGCTAGGGGGGAGTGAGCTGTAGCGGTCAATAATTCCCCAAAATTATTGACCACAGCAATCATTGGATGCTGACCACCACTGTTTAAGTCGACTTGTTGGGCTGAAGGCTTCCGGTCAAGCATCCCCGCCATTTGGTACCCCGTCGTGTCACGTGCGGCATGATCACTAGCCAGCTAAGCGTTCGTCTGACGGCTCGTTTTGGTCCCGAAATATATCCCATAATTTGGACGATCAAATATTGTCTTTGCTTTGCTTTTGGTACGCGAGAATTAATAAGTAAGAAGTTGCTGTATAAGAGATTGCGTCAATATACTCAGTACTGTGAGCGAACGTCTATACCGTCAACCTCTGAAACACCCTTTACACAGTGGAGAGAATTTATATGCTCAGTGATGGTTGGAGTCAACGAAGTAATGCACTTAATGCATACGTATTCTTCCCATGGTCACTTCGACACTTTGTTAAATATGTCAAAGTCGTTTAATAGTCAAACCCTTCTTGAAGTTGAATTAACTAAACCCGGATGGCGAGCAAGCTTTCGTATACATCTGGATATTCATTTATATGTTGGTCATGATGACGAATCCAAATCACTGTCGATACGGCGCCGATAAACCTGGATATCTAACAAGTAATGAAAATATCCTGATAGTTGCATTTGGAATCCCACTGACTCATTCGGTGCTTATGTGCTGCTCCTGCATGCTTCATTCGGTATTTTCTATGGTTTGGTTCGCAGTCATTCCGTTTCTTTACCGAAATGAATCAAAAATTCACCGACCTCTGATTCATTATTACTTCTTTGCATGTTCAAATAGACACTAACTGCCGTAGCGAGCCTCCTGCAGATTATATTGCATTGTTACCGGTACACTTGTGGTGAGAGCCGTCCGCTAGCCAAAACTGGTAGACAACAATTTACGTCAATGTTTATGTACCAAATCTTTGTCACGCAAAAGAATCAAGAACAAAGACTAACCCAACAACCAATAGCAGTCGACTTGGCATGGGCGGATACGATTAGCAGGCACATCAACGGACTGTCTCAGAAACGACAAGAAAGACTTGTCAGAGTAACCTTCAGCAGCAGGAGAACCCACCAGAGGACGTCACTTCTCTGCCAGCAATAACAAATAATAGTGTTCATAAAAATCTGTAAATATCTGCTGATTTTCTCAATAAACGATCTGTTGCAGAATTTTGCACACTTAGTTCCTGCTGGGTTGGTTCGTTCACTGCCAGAGATCGCTGTCGCTGATCTTTTCTGGCCAGCCGTCTGATCTTGAGGGTTGAGTAAAGACGGCTGCTGATAAAGGTCTGTAGTTCGTTAGAAGTGCTCTTTGTGACGCGCCAAGCCCCTGCCTCGGGCAAAGTGAAACTTTAAGCACCAATACCACTAATCAGCGGATGACCTCAAGCTCATCAATCGCGTGAAGGAAGCAATTTTGTGTATGTAATATGTGAATTTATGAGAAAATTGCCTAAAAACTGTCTAAAAGTGTTACAGAGAATAGCTTCCTCTCACATGTGATAAAAAATAGTTCTCAGTTTAAGGTTGGAGTATCAGCAGAGTATTATTCCATTGTGGGTAAAATTTATTTTGATAAATTTTCATAGAGTTATGCAGCAATATTTCTTGAGCAGTAGATTGTGCTCGAAATGTCATCATTTAATATCACTACTGAATAACACTGCGGGACTTTATTAAAGTAAATTTTACCCTCAGTGGAATATTACTCTTCGCAATGCAGAAGTTCTATTCTTAATAATTATAGCAACAGTAATTTAACCACATTCTATGCATGTAATCACTTGTGTCTTCTAACCCCTTACAATTACCCTAATCTTTCCTGAACCTAACCCAAATGTGAAAATATCCCTTAACTAACTGTAATCTAACCCGAACCAAAACTACTGTTGCCTTTGTTAGCTTAACCTAACCCTAACGTGTCCCAAACCTAAGCTGAAACTTGCCAGATATCCCGTTTAATAACATAACACTTCGATAAGCGTATTTTATTGGTGATGATGACATTATTTTCCAGGATTCACTAACTTGCTCAGTGAGCCTTTCAAGGTCATTGGTGCGGTCGCACTCCATTATTAGTTAGTGGTGCTTTAAGTTTGACCTGGCCAGCATTCTTTCACTTCGCTCAAAAGGCCCGTATAAGCTATTAAATAACCTTATGGATATTAATTATTGGGACTGAAACAAAAGCGGCATTTTCAGTTTCTGTTGCTCAACACATTAGGATGTCGCGCACAGATCTTGATGAATGGTTAGCTCTGCATGAAAGTGTTGTGAAAATCAACAATGGGTTAGATCCCAAATCTGGATTGGAGGAATCAGATGAAAAGCGTAAGTGCCTTAGGTTCTTCATATTCTCAAGCCTTCACAAGGGCAGAGATATCGTACATTAATAAGCTGCTGAACTGTAATTTATTTGAGACACGTGAAGCAGATTTTGAATTGCTAAGATCTGATCCAAATCATCCCCTACACTCAGCTCGCACATTCCAAGATTTGAATTTGTAGGTATTACCTGTTAACAGTATATCTTCCTACAACAGGAAAGAACCACTCCTCAGGGGTATCTCAGAAATGCGCTTTTACAGGCCATCCACTATCCAAGAACGAGCTCTAGCTAGTTTAATATCTGATAAGTAAGTATGCCAGATATTTTATTGATTATTTTGTTCCTTTGAGTTCCGAGGGGAACATCGGGCTTCTGGTTTGAGTTTTAATGTTTCGTCACTTTTAGTGTTATTTCTTTTTTATGGAGTGGGTTTGCTAGCGGTCTTCCAACCTCCCCTCTTTACCGGACTTACTACCGGTTAGGCGAGGTTTGTATACAAACCTCGCCTAACCGGTAGTAAGTCCGGTCTCCGCTGACACACCTATAGGTGTGTCAGCGGAGACCAAACACCCAACCACTTGGTTGACGAGCATTCTGTGCGTCGGTGGCACAGTGGTTAGGACTCTCGCCGACCATGCACATGGTCCGGGGTTCAAGCCTGCACCGACGCACACCTGATATCTATGGTCGGCCTTCAAAATTTGGGCTACCGATATCCATGCTGAAAATTCCATACTTGTACCAAAAATACGGTGTGGAATCAAGCTGTAAATCAAAAATCAAAACTACTTACGTACACAGTATGTCAGATGTATGTTTTAACTCGATTAAATCACACCGTGTCTGGATTTCTAATTTTATGTTCATAATACAGTAGTCCCCGATTTATGAAGAATTGTTCCTTAGCATACGCACTCGTGACCTCTTTATTCTCACGTTGCGCTTTATGTCTTTCTGCTTTTAATTCTTCACATGAAACACTGATAGACAATAAATATACTGATTAGATTTATCGAACAACCTTGATGATGTTTTGTAAATACTGTGAACATACTTCTGGTCAGTAAACATTGAGTACCAAGGTGCATATTTATTTATGATTTATTTATTTAAACGCACCAAGAAGGATGCGCCACACAATAATAATAAAGCAATATAGATCAAAAGAAAAAAAGGAAGAAGAGAAAAAATATATATAAGTAGAGAACGGATAAAGAACTTCATCTGGAAAGAAAACAGTCGTGCTTAACAAGTTCAAACAGTATCATCGGGAAGGGAAGAAAGAAGGAAACTGCAACACGCGATTAGTTTCATTGATTGTTTGTTGCTTCACTCAATTCATTGTGTGAGGGCTGAGATACTGCCCGGGCGCCCAAACCGAAGCAGGTGGTTTTATTAAGGGACCACCCCCGAGCCTTTGACTTGGAGTCTAATCCGCAAGGCAGCGGAGCAGCGTCAGGAGCTGCATTCCTATGGTTTCCGGTGACCCATATGGGTTCATACGCCATTTGATCCGGTTGGATACTGGAGCCCATGTACCCCATGGTAACTGCTTTTAGTTTAACCGCTATCCAAACAACTTTCCTGACATGCTAGGACCTGCAGGCACAGAGTCCCAGTCAGTTTAGCTTGTTGGGTCATTACGGTATTCAAGCCCGACCACCACGACAAGGTAGCAGTTATCGGCCTGGAAGGTGCATATAGTAGACTATGCATCTAAGACTTCCTTACCTTTACCACTTTCGACCTTAAATTTTGGAATGTATCAGGTATTACCCTTTCACAACATTCATATTACTTCAGTGAATTTGCTATTTTAAAATTTCTCTTTCGTGTTCTACCGTTTGCCTTCCAAAAGTCAAGAGTGTTGAACACTTTTCAGTCCTGACGTTTATTTGGAAACAAGTAAAGTCATTTGTATTATATGACTGATAATGACACCACTCAGGTTCATTGAGATGTAAACGCGATATCCATTAGCTAAAAGTTAAGTATTGAGGTCAGTGTACCACATTGTCGGGTTTGAAAGTGATTGCATGGCAAACCTTGTCTAAGCATACTTTGTCTTACATACAACCGTCGACTTTTATATATGATTAAATAAAATATTCTAAATCTTAGATGTCCTTAATTGATGTTACCTCTTGTATCAACATTTACCACTGATAAAAGCAGAGATTCAAATGAGGAAAACTGCCAATTATGGCGTTATTATGCCTTACTTAGGTTTTTGGCTAATAACTTGTCACACAACTTCCATAAATATGTGATTTCTGAAGTGTGTTACTCTATTGCAGTGGCATGATTTCGTCATTTCTACTTGAGAACGACGTCATATTAATGTGCCCCTCACAGAACTTCGAACTAAACCGTTTCAATAGTGGCAATCTAAGTGTTCTGGGTATCGGTTATGCATCAGTGTATCAGATTACATCATCTTAGGCGTGGACCTAATATTCAGCTGTCAATCAAAGGACTACTCAGTACTTCTCTCCATTGTTTTTGTGGATGTGAGACTTCTGTCTGTCTGGATTCAACATAGAACTTGGTACCGAAGTGCACCAGTTCGAGTTGCCACCTTCCAAATAGCACACAGAGGTAGACAACAAGATGAGTGAAGAGAATCAATAGAGTTTGACAAATATAAGAGTGAAACAGAATGGGTAATGGTAGAAAGGAATATGAAAGATTACAGAGATTGAATACATCTGCGCCATTGACAACGATTTTGAGCCATGTCACCTATTGTCTCCAGCCATTGATTCCTAGAGTCCCGGGGCCCCCAACCCGGGAGTCTGCATTTCCCTACCTGACTCAGTTTAACTGTCAAGGATTTCATGGATTGATGCCATGTTTTTGTTTGGCCACCACTGGCTCTTTTCCAACCTGCACCTATATCAGCTAGTAATGCCCGTCGGGGGAGGTGATGGTTAGGCATGCGCAGCACTTCACCTAGCCATCTCAATCTATGTAACTTTATAGCCTCGTCGATTGATTTTCCCTCTTTGCCCAACACTCTACGCCTAACGCCAGCATTACTTACCTGATTAAACCACCTAAAGTGAGAAAGAAATCGCAGACATCTATGATTGAAAGCAGTCAACCTTTTCATGTCTTCAACTCGTATTGGCCATGTTTCAGAGCCATAGGGAAGGACGGAGCGAACTGCTGAGCAGTACACACTTTCCTTGGTTGATAGCCGGATGTCACGCCTACGCCAGAGATGGTGTAAGTCAGCGAAAGCAGCTCGAGCTTTTTGGATCCGTGCTGAGATTTCGTCGCCAATCAGTCCGTTGGTGCTAATACAACTTCCCAAATAGGTGAAGTGGTCAACATATTCTATCACTTCACTCCCTGTCACTAAGCTAGGAGTTGACATAGTCCAGTCCTGTAGCAGCATCTTACATTTTACAGATGGCGAATCGCATGCCAAACATGCAAAGATTGCTGCTCAAGGTGTTCAGAAGACTCTCCCTCATTTTGTCAGCATCCTCCCCTAACAGGACTATGTCATCTGCATATTCAGCTAGTAATGCCCGTCGGGGGAGGTGATGGTTAGGCATGCGCAGCACTTCACCTAGCCATCTCAATCTATGTAACTTTATAGCCTCGTCGATTGATTTTCCCTCTTTGCCCAACACTCTACGCCTAACGCCTAAGTCCATAAGACTATTCCCTGGTAACAAGTCTATTCCTAAGTCGTTACGTTCACTTAACGATACTTCCATTAGCCTATCTATGATGAAGTTAAACAGGAATGGGGAAAGTGGACATCCCTGTCGGACACCACTGGTTGTTATCAATTCAGATGACAATTCCCCCTTACACGACTACGTGAATTTGACTAGAGTACCTTGATTAGTGCAATGTACTTTCTTGGCACTCCCTTCACAGTCAGACATTGCCATAGTACCTTTCGATCCACGGAGTCGAAGGCCGCCTTCAAGTCAAGAAATATGACAATTGTTGGACGCCGAAAAGTGTTTCTATGTTCTAGAATCTGTCGAAGAGTGAAGATATGATCTATGCACCCTCTACCTGGTCTAAAGCCTGCTTGATTTTCCCTTGTCTGTTCCTCCCGAGTTCTGCTTAGTCTATGCATGATTACTGAGCCTAGGATTTTAGAGACTATGTTCGTTAGGCTGATCCCCCTATGATTATCACACGAGGACTTGTTTCCCTTCTTGAATATCGGTATAATAAGTGACTTACCCCAGTCTGATGGCACTGTCTCTGATTCCCAGACTTTGCCTAGTACCTCAGTTAATCTACAAACTAGTATGTCACCCCCATATTTAAACACCTCCGGAATAATTCCGTCGGGTCCTGCCGCTTTGCCTCGTTTCAAATTACTGATAGCTTTTGTGACCTCACTTACAGACGGCGGACCAGTGTCTATATCCCATTCGGGTGTGCTGGATGTCGGGGAGGTTCAGTGTGGCTGTAGGCAAGTTAAATTGTCCCTCAAAGTGTTCTTTCCAGCGTTCAAGGCGTCTATCCTGAGAGCTAATTAAGGAGCCATTTTTCTCAGAAATAGTCTCACTTATGATTTGCCTTCTCCCACCCGTTTCCCTGATGAGTCTAAAGAGTTGCCTAGTGTTGCCTATCGTCGATGCTTTTTCCATCTTTTTTGCCTTTGTCAGCCACCACTGTTCACGGTCCTTGCGGAGACTTTTAGTAAGTTTCCTTTTGTGCAGCTTTCGCTCCTCATTGAATTCGGAGCTCGCCGGAATAAGTCTTCTAGCATCTATCAGTTCGGATGAGGCAGTCGAAATCCAGTGGTTTTTACTCACCTTTGGATTTGCCTTATTCACAGCTTTTACAGCTGTATCTATAGCTGACTGAATATTCTTCCAGGGTGAGCACAGCTGTCGAACTCAGATATGCGTTTAGCTAGTTCTTCCTCAAATAGGTATTTAGTTTCCTGATCGAGCTGGGGACGTGATGGTTTTACCGCCAGCTGTTTCCTACGTCCGTTCAGTCGTAAGCACACACGAGCCCGGACCAGTGCGTGATCGGTATCTACACACGTGTTCCAGAAGGAGCGACAATCTCCTACCGACCCACGCCAACGATAGCTTATTGCTATGTGGTCTATTTGTGTCCAGCGTTGGTTTGATGATGGGGGTCGCCAGGTTAAACAGTGTCTCTCCTTGTGTTTAAAGTTAGTGCTTACGAGAAACAAATGATTATCAGAACAGAACTGTAGGAGACGGTCACCGTTGTCGGTTCGCTGGCACGGGACTCCATAGGTGCCACCGACATCCTTCTCAGATTGACACAATTTCCCTACTTGAGCATTAAAGTCACCAGCTAGAACGACTATATCTGAGCGTTTAGCCTTTCGCACCAAACTAGACAGCTTTTGGTAGAACTCATCCTTCGTTTCATCTGAACTGCAGTCAGTGGGGGCGTAGGCGGAGATTACGAAAAGGCATCGGCGAGTAGTGCAGTCCTTTCTCCTTCTTACTGATCCGTTCAGACGGACAGCACACATTCGGCTATCTACCGGGATCCAGTCAAGTAATGTCTTTTCTGCCCTAGTACTCAAAGCTATCCCTACAACAGCTAATCCTCGTGAACTGGCTGTGGCATCTCCTGACACCCTCAAGGTGAATTTTGAAGATTCATCCTGTTGGCCAGGTGGGGTTAGGTGAATAACGACACTTGGGTCTTGTATGCGTGTTTCTGAAACACAACATACATCAATGGCTCGAGATGCCAGGGTCTTAGCTAGTGATGCTTGTTGTCCTATTTGGCAAAGTGTCCTAACATTAAGAGCTCCTATGTGAAATTGGTGGCGTGGCTTTAGGAGACTATCCGTGGTGGTTTTTTGGCTTCCGTCGTTCTTAGTGGACACAGAGTGAAGAGGGAGTGAGGAGCCATCAAGTAGAGGAGTTGCATCAGTGGGAGGAAGGCAAGGTAATAGAGATGAAGATGAAGACAAAGATGAGTGTGGATTAGAGAGGTTTTGTGTACATTTCGGATTGTGAGGGCGTTTGTTACTTCCCGGCTGCCCACACCGTGGAAGTTGGTTGCGTGACCGCAGAGTCCAGGGGACAACTGCTTGAGGCCGGTCACACGCGGCCTGTTTTTGTTTGTTCTCTTTTGTTTGGTGTGCCTCAGTAGCATACTTATCACTCCTGCCCTGTGACACGGCAGCAGGAAGCGCGGTCGTTGTTAATCCGGGCCACGGCCGATCCGGCATGAAATTTTGTGAATTTGTTTGAATCATGGTATTGGATGGGGTAGCTGCTTTTTGTTTAACCGCTATCCAAACAACCTGCCTGGCATGGTAGGACCTCAGGAGACATAAGTCTCAGCCAGTATAGCTTGATTAGGTCATTGCGGTGTTCAAGCCCGACCACCACGTCAAGGTAGCAGCTTTCGGTCTGGGATGTGAGACTTAGCCGTTAAAAGTGAAAGTTAAGAGAAGGCCAGCTGTCTTTGGTGATTGGTTTCTGCATCCTATCCTCCGTGTTTAGTAGTATAATCTGGTGAATGATACTGAGGTCAGACACAATGTAAGGGAAGAAAAGAAGTTAGAATAGTAAAGTTGTGAAGTTGCATCGTTTGAGATGTTACACCTAGCAGTTGTCTTGTTTGTCGAGCAGTTAGCTAAGCTGAATAGGTTAGAGAAGAGTTAGGAGTGGTCAAATGAAAACGTGGCATTGTTCAATGAAGTCTGTGACTGTTGATTTAATCCAAATAAGCAGGTGTGAACCGGCTGACTTGGCGCACCCTAGTATGCTAAGTAACAATGGTTGGTGACTGTTGGCAACACGACCTAAAGTAATTCTCAATGGCTTAGGTGCATTCACTCGTTATGGACTTCTAAATGCATTGAATTCTTACTGTTCTCCATGTGCTTATTTTTTCTCCTGTACATTTGCGACAATGACTTCCACTGATATAAGAATAAAACTTGTGCACTGTGGTAGATCATAATTCCATTATGGGTAAATTTTTGTTTTGATAAAGTCCCACCGTGTTATACAGTAATGTTTACTGATTACGTTTCGAGCACAATTGATTGCTCATAATCATATCAAGGTACTCACACGACTTCCTAACTTCATTTATATAGTTCCATTATTTTTCACTTGATTTGATTGGCAGTAGTATTTTCCATAAATAAGGATTTCCCCCAGTTGCACTTCACTTCCTTGTAGTCATTCTCAATAAAGGAAGAAATCCGTTAGTGATATGATAAAATCTAGGGCCAGTAGCCTTCAGTATTCCTCTCGAAATGCTCTCATGTGGCCACGCGTTTATAGCCTCTGCCAGGTAGGTCCTATTAAACCACTCCATGCGTCAATTCGGGTGTTCTTACAAAAGTTAAACGGTGAATACGAACATCTGTCACTTACACACCGAACTAGACTAGACTAGTCTATCTAGGGGAGTTGGGAAACCCTGATTCAAAAACTTGTGTACAGGAACTCTAAAATCCGAACGGATCGAATATTATCTTGACCTGTTCTACTTACCTTAGACGATGGGAACGCAACTCGTGACGTTGCTCCACTGTCTTGTGGATCAGACTTCAAATCAAAGACTCGGTGTAATGGTCCTTAAGACAGCTGTCGTCTTCAATGTGGTGGGCATCTATGAAGTACTCTAGCCCTCGCAAATTACCATCAACTGGTTCTTTAATCATTGAGTAACTCTTAGCTTTCTGCATAAGTTCAGAAGTTTTGTTGATGGCAACACAGTTTAGAAGAGTATAGTTGGTGGTGTACTGTTATGTCTGCTTTCCTCTACACCCACTACTCCAAATTGACAAGTTAGTAGTATCAAGTCGTTTTAGAAGTCTTTCAAACATCTTGAGGGATACATAAGTTTAAATTCACCTTACGGTCTATGTGGTGCGTAAGCTGCGTATTAAGTTAAAACACTGTTGTGCTAATTTCATTACACTGCACATAATGCAGAATGAGCGTATCTGTTTTTTCTGAATCCCTTAACTGCGGTTTTGTAATTAGTCAACACAGCATAAGTTATACATGTAAATTATGCACCCTCTGTATTTTTATCTCACACACTTTAAAGAAGCTTTTTCAGTGATGATTTATTTATCCAACTTTTTTCAAGCCCACAAAATATGATAGCTCAATCTCAATCTGGAACTGGGAAAACAGCAACATTTCTGATTGCAATGCTATCACGCGTCAGCGCAGATGTTCCTTACTGTCAATGTCTGTGTATGGCTCCTACACGTGAACTTGCCCTACAGATAGATTCAGTTGGTCAAAAGATGGCACAATTTATGACTGGAGTATCGTTTGCTACAGCTGTTCGTTCTCCACGAGGTATACGAAATTTCGCAAACTGTTATTCAGTTTTTCTTCCATATAATTTAAATTAGTGTTGAATGTGTTGTCATAACGAAGGCGGTAATATATATATATATATATATATATATATATATATATATATAGTGGTAACATCCAAATGCGAATTTGTTATAAAAGTTTGAAAGAGGCTTCTACATCTGTGAACTATTGCAGGCGAACCGTTAAGAGTAGTGAGAATAACGTTTCTAGTCGTGACAAAAGTCTGGGAGGCATATACCGACCTGAGCCACCTCTTAAGCCTTCACATGTTAGTTTGACTGTCAAATGTCAGGCTCAAAATTCTTAGTTGGTCTTGTCTTGGCCTTTCTGTGAAATATGGTCTCTCCTATCTGCAGATATGTTGTGATTACACCTTCAATCATCTTTGTCACCATAAAACTGTATTCATTAGGTGGTATTACCGTGAAAGTAATTCTGAGGTCCAATATCATGTCTGTTCGGAGTGGAGATTGTCTTTAAGTAAGTGTTATCATATGTGTACATTGACTTAGGAAGGTCTAGACATGAGTCATGAATGGTAATCCTAAACGCAGTTTGCTTCTCTTTCTATAAGTAATATGAACAGATAAACACTTGAGTACTCATGATAAATGTGCTCATCTGATTCTATTCTGTTGTTTCCCAACTATATTTTTATCCTTTCCGCAATACTAATTTTTTTAAATTATTTTGTATAGCGCATCGAAACGCGTCAACTACACATACTTTCTCGGGTTCGATTCCCGACCAACGCACACTTAAACCTCGCTTAGCCGATAGTAAGCTCGGTAAAAGGAGAAAGTTGGATTAAGATGAAGTTTTTAACCTCCGTCTGTAAAAAGACAACACTACCGCCGCTACTGAAGCTTCAAAGCTAATGCTTGAAGAAGCCCTTTGTTCCACCCGGAAGGTGAAAGAATTAGATAATGAAAAAGAATAGTGCATCTTCTAGTACTCATATTGTACTATTTTTTGTGTTTTAAAGAGGTATATAAATAATACATATATACAATATCTGACAACTTTATTCAAATGAAACTTTCTTCATGAACAGTAAAATAGTTATACGACTTACTCTTCGTAGCGAAATTACGATTTGGACGTTTATTCTATGACCACAGTTTCACTTTTACAGATCTTTTATTAAAAATATTTGCCTTGAACCCATTCAGCTTGTTGAAATGTATTCGCTGACAGAAAGATTTTCAGCTAGCTCCTAGTAGTTTGAAATTGTTCTCAGAAAATTCATCATGAAAACTTCCTTTTATTCTTTTGAGTTCCGAATGGAACTTAAAGCCTCAAGCTTTGAGCGTTGAATTTTCAGTAGAAGTGTCGTTTCATTTACACGAGGGAGTTGCCATCCTCAGCTCAAGTTTACAAATTTCCCTCTCCTACCAGACTTAGCGAGGTTTAGGAGTGAGTCGGTTGCGAATAAAATCGCGGACCGCTTGGCCAGTGTTCTATTAATGAACTAACCACGCATTGATTCATCGTGAAAGTTTTGCTAATTAAAATTAGTGTGCATCCAGTAGGCATGTAGAATGAGATTTATCTATCGACCGTCTGAAATAAAAGTGTTTACCGCAATTGCTTTGTTTTATTACATGATGAGTTTATCTATTTGATTTTAAGACACAGACTTGGAACATTATAGGCACACAGAGATGCGCCATAAAACATTATACAAAGAAAATTGGAAAGAAGGAATGTGTGACATTATATGACAAGCAAGCATATTCATCAAGATCATCCAACATTCAGCACTTCATGTCACTTTCAGAAAGAATAGGAAAAAGGAAATTACAGCTTGTTCGCCATAGATTGAGATTCTTGGCCACACCTGAAAACGTCTTGAGCCACCGATTTGAACTATCAAACCTCAGCCAGGGAGTCATGATGTGCCAGCCGATGCTAATATAACACAAATACCCTTCACCCTACCACGCCACTTCATAAATTGACCACCTCTTGCCTTTTTCTATGCAATATCCATGATTAGCGAACAGAAACTGGTACAAGAGCTTCTGGGATGGCAGCCGTAGCACAAATCCAAGCTGTCAAAGGCGGTGTTTCCATATGACAATGCTCAATGAATGATGACCACCGAACCACCACAATGACTTCATAGAACACAAGCAATCCTACTTAAATGGCGACTATCAAATACACAGAGTCGCCACACATCCTCAGTTCGGATAAGTCAAGTTTCACAAGTGTTGAGCTAAAATGCTGGCACCGAAACATTGTAAACCCGCTCTTTGACTACCAGGCTGACGGTACCAGAGATAGCCCAAGATGGTGTATGCTGCTGTAGCTTCTACTATACGATTAGAGTTTTCAACCGTCACTCACACAACTACCTAAATAATTAAACTTATCGATAACTTCAAGCGGTTCACTTACAAGTCGGAGTGTCAGTTACAGACTCCTATCAATATTGCAACAGTACTTTGCACTAGGCGCAAAGCACACACCCCACACCTGTAGACAATAAACGTCAGCTGAAAAAGATACATATTTTTCTTTTGCTAGTTACACTTATTGTAAGATACATGTATACATATATTATATTCACAGTGTTTCTATCGTCAAAATTTCTATTTTAGCCAAAATTAATTCTGATGGATTTATAAGTGATCAAATTGTTATTGGTACACCGGGTACAATTGCAAATTGGTTTCGTGGTACAGGGCAGTATCGTATTGATCCTACTAAAGTAGTAATGTTTGTACTAGATGAAGCTGATATTATGATTGAAGAAGAAGGCTTTCTGAATATTTGTATGCGAGTTAAAACGTAAGTTTATTTTATGTGGATTCATTTTCTTGCTTGCATCATACTTGATTTACTAAAGCAAAAACTTCTTACCTTATGGGCACCAAAAGATACACTACACAAAATATCACTGTTTATGCGAGGGCTAGAGTAGTGGATAGATGCCCACCGCACTGAAGAAGACAGCTGTCTTAATGGCCATCACACCGAGTCTTTGACTTGAAGTCTGACCCACAAGACAGTGGAGCAACGTCACGAGCTGCATCCCCATCATTTCCGGTGAGTAGAACAGGTCAAGATAATATTCGATCCGTTCGGATTTTAGAGTCCATGTACACAAGTTTTTGAATCAGGGTTTCCCAACTCCCCTAGATAGACTAGTCTAGACTAGTTCGGTGTGTAAGTGACAGATGTTCGTATTCACCGTTTAACTTTTGTAAGAACACCCGGCAGCAAGAAACAAGATGTCAGCGAGACGGTCTGTGAGGCAAATGGCACGCCAATTACCAGCGTGAAAAGACGCCTGGAACGCTGGGCAGAGCACTTCGAGAAGCAGTTTAGCTGGCCACCAGCTTCAGTGTCTACTATCATTAGCCCGAGTGCTCCTTGGTCGGTTAGTACCGACCCACCCACCGAAGCGAAGGTTCGTAAGGAACTCCAAGTTCTGAAACGCCGTAAGGCGCCCGGCCCAGACAATTTACCCCCGGCTCTTTCTAAAGATGGTGGCGAGACTCTCACAATGGCTCTAACTGGGTCGTTCAGGAAGGTGTGGGAGACAGAGTGTACCATCAATGTGGAACGAAGCCATTATCGTCCCCATCTTTAAAAAGGGTCGACGTAATTCATGTGACAATCATGGGGGTATCAGTCTGTTACCAGTCGCGTCTAAAATATTGGCTGCTGTCTTGCTTCGCAGACTGTGCAAAATACGTGAAGGATTGATTCGCGAAGAGCAGGCTGGGTTTCGTTCAGGTCGTGGATGCATTGATCATGTGTTCACTCTTCGTCAGTTGTTGGAACACCGTCACACGTATTGCAGGCCAACGATCGTTATGTTTCTTGATATTAGGGCTGCCTTCGATTCGTTGGACAGAACTGTGCTCTGGAACTGTCTGTTAGAGAGAGGTGTACCTGAGAAATTTGTTAACATCTTGAAAGCCCCATACAGAAACACCTCGGGTAGAGTGAGGGCATACAACCAACTATCATCACTGTCTGTCTGTCTGGATTCAACATAGAACTTGGCACCGAAGTGCAGCAGTTCGAGTTGCCACGTTCCAAATAGCACACAGAGGTAGACAAGAAGATGAGTGAAGAGAATCAATAGAGTTTGACAAATATAAGAGTGAAACAGAATGGGTAATGGTAGAAAGGAATATGAAAGATTACAGAGATTGAATACATCTGCGCCATTGACAACGATTTTGAGCCATGTCACCTATTGTCTCCAGCCATTGATTCCTAGAGTCCCGAGGGCCCCAACCCGGGAGTCTGCATCTCCCTACCTGACTCAGTTTAACTGTCAAGGATTTCATGGATTGATGCCATGTTTTTGTTTGGCCACCACTGGCTCTTTTCCAACCTGAACCTATATCAGCTAACAATGCCCGTCGGGGGAGGCGGTGGTTAGGCATGCGCACCACGTGACCTAGCCATCTTAGTCTATGTAACTTTATAACCTCGTCGATTGATTTTCCCTCTTTGCCCAACACTCTACGCCTAACGTCAACATTACTTATCTTGTGAAACCACCTAACGTGAGACAGAGATCGCAGACATCTATGATCGAAAGCAGTCAACCTTTTCATGTCTTCAACGCGTATTGGCCATGTTTCAGAGCCATAGAGAAGGACGGAGCGAACTGATGAGCAGTACACACGTCCCTTGGTTGATAACCGGATGTCACGCCTACGCCAGAGATGGTGTAAGTCAGCGAAAGCAGCTCGAGCTTTTCGGATCCGTGCTGAGATTTCATCGCCAATCAGTCCGTTGGTGCTAATACAACTTCCCAAGTAGGTGAAGTGGTCAACATGTTCTATCACTTCACTCCCTATCACTAAGTTAGGGGTTGACGTCGTCCAGTCCTGTAGCAGCATCTTACATTTTGCAGGGGCGAATCGCATGCCAAACATACGAAGATTGCTGCTCAAGGTGTTCAGAAGACTCTGCATTTTGTCAGCATCCTCCCCTAACAGGACTATGTCATCTGCATATTCTAAGTCCATTAGATTATTCCCTGGTAACAAGTCGATTCCTAAGTCACTACGTTCAGTTAAGGATACTTCCATTAGCATATCTATGATGAAGTTAAACAGAAATGGGGAAAGTGGACATCCCTGTCGGACACCACTGGTTGTTACCAATTCAGATGACAATTCCCCATAAGCCCTTACACGACTACGTGAGTTTGAATAGAGTGCCTTGATTAGTGCAATGTACTTTCTTGGCACTCCCTTCACAGTCAGACATTGCCATAGTACTTTTCGGTCCACGGAGTCGAAGGCCGCCTTCAAGTCAAGAAATATGACAATTGTTGGACGCCGAAAAGTGTGTCTATGTTCTAGAATCTGTCGAAGAGTGAAGATATGATCTATGCACCCTCTACCTGGTCTAAAGCCTGCTTGATTTTCCCTTGTCTGTTCCTCCCGAGTTCTGCTTAGTCTATGCATGATTACTGAGCCTAGGATTTTAGAGACTATGTTCGTTAGGCTGATCCCCCTATGATTATCACACGAGGACTTGTTTCCCTTCTTGAATATCGGTATAATGAGTGACTTACCCCAGTCTGATGGTACTGTCTCTGATTCCCAGACTTTGCCTAGTACCTCAGTTAATCTACAAACTAGTATGTCACCCCCATATTTAAACACCTCCGGAATAATTCCGTCGGGTCCTGCCGCTTTGCCTCGTTTCAAATTACTGATAGCTTTTGTAACCTCACCTACAGACGGCGGACCAGTGTCTATATCCCATTCGGGTGTGTGGTGGATGGCGGGGAGGTTCAGTGTGGCTGTAGGCAAGTTAAATTGTTCCTCAAAGTGTTCTTTCCAGCGTTCAAGGCGTCTATCCTGAGAGCTAATTAAGGAGCCATTTTTCTCAGAAATAGTCTCACTTATGAATTGCCTTTTCCCGCCCGATTCTGTGATGAGTCTAAAGAGTTGCCTAGTGTTGCCTATCGCCAATGCTTTTTCCATCTCTTTCGCCTTTGTCACCCACCACTGTTCACGGTCCTTGCGGAGACTTTTAGTAAGTTTCCTTTTGTGCAGCTTTCGCTCCTCATTGAATTCGGAGCTCGCCGGAATAAGTCTTCTAGCATCTATCAGTTCGGATGAGGCAGTCGAAATCCAGTGGTTTTTACTCACCTTTGGATTTGTCTTATTCACAGCTTTTACAGCTGTATCTATAGCTGACTGAATATTCTTCCAGGCTTCTCCAGGGTGAGCACAGCTGTCGATTCAGATATGCGTTTAGCTAGTTCTTCCTCAAATAGGGATTTAGTTTCCTGATCGAGCTGGGGACGTGATGGTTTTACCGCCAGCTGTTTCCTACGTCCGTTCAGTCGTAAGCACACACGAGCCCGGACCAGTGCGTGATCGGTATCTACACACGTGTTCCAGAAGGAGCGACAATCTCCTACCGACCCACGCCAACGATAGCTTATTGCTATGTGGTCTATTTGTGTCCAGCGTTGGTTTGATGATGGGGGTCGCCAGGTTAAACAGTGTCTCTCCTTGTGTTTAAAGTTAGTGCTTACAAGAAACAAATGATTATCTGAACAGAACTGTAGGAGACGGTCACCGTTGTCGGTTCGCTGGCACGGAACTCCATAGGTGCCACCGACATCCTTCTCAGATTGACACAATTTCCCTACTTGAGCGTTAAAGTCACCAGCTAGAACGACTATATCTGAGCGTTTAGCCTTTCTCACCAAACTAGACAGCTTTTGGTAGAACTCATCCTTCGTTTCATCCGAACTGCAGTCAGTGGGGGCGTAGGCGGAGATTACGAAAAGGCATCGGCGAGTAGTGCAGTCCTTTCTCCTTCTTACTGATCCGTTCAGACGGACAGCACACATTCGGCTATCTACTGGGATCCAGTCAAGCAATGTCTTTTCTGCCCTAGTACTCAGAGCTATCCCTACGCCAGCTAATCCCCGTGAACTAGCTGTGGCATCTCCTGACACCCTCAAGGTGAATTTTGAAGATTCATCCTGTTGGCCAGGTGGGGTTAGGTGAATAACCACACTTGGGTCTTGTATGCGTGTTTCTGAAACACAACATACATCAATGGCTCGAGATGCCAGGGTCTTAGCTAGTGATGCTTGTTGTCCTATTTGGCAAAGTGTCCTAACATTAAATGCTCCTATATGAAATTGGTGGCGTGGCTTTAGGAGACTATCCGTGGTGGTTTTTTGGCTTTCGTCGTTTTTAGTGGACACAGAGTGAAGAGGGAGTGAGGAGCCATCAAGTAGAGGAGTTGCATCAGTGGAGGAAGGCAAGGTAATAGAGATGAAGATGAAGACAAAGATAAGTGAGGATTAGAGAGGTTTTGTGTGCATTTCGGATTGTGAGGGCGATTGTTACTTCCCGGCTGCCCACACCGTGGAAGTTGGTTGCGTGACCGCAGAGCCCAGGGGACAACTGCTTGTGGCCGGTCACACGCGGCCTGTTTTTGTTCGTTCTTCGTTGTTTTGTGTGCCTCAGTAGCATACTTATCACTCCTGCCCTGTGACACGGCAGCAGGAAGCGCGGTCGTTGTTAATCCGGGCCACGGCCGATCCGGCATGAAATTTTGTGAATTTGTTTGGATCATGGTATTGGATGAGGTAGCTGCTTTTTGTTTAACCGCTATCCAAACAACCTGCCTGGCATGGTAGAACCTCAAGAGACATAAGTCTCAGCCAGTATAGCTTGATTAGGTCATTGCGGTGTTCAAGCCCGACCACCACGTCAAGGTAGCAGCTTTCGGTCGGGACTATCATCACTGTTCCCAACCAACAGTGGGGTTAGACATGGTTGCCC